AACCAGACCCTCCTTATTCATGAGAATAACATCTAGTAGCGCTCCTCTCCTAGTCGACTCGTCCACCATTTGCATCAGGAAGTTATCATCAATGCACTGGAGAAACCTTCTGGACCATTGTCAAAAGAATCAGTTTAATCATAAGCTGAAAATTTGGGACTTGCTGCCATCACTGAAAAGTACATTCTGGTTTAACCTTTGAAGGCAAGTCCTGATAAAAATGTCTAAAAGACACTTAGCTGTAACGCTCTCACACATGCTCTGGCTCACCTGCTTCTCAGACCAAAGTGTGCAGGATGGTAGGCCCTAATTTATAAATAGGAACAAACTCCCTCAAGCTTCATTCCAGGTAAAGTCTCCATTGCACTTGCTGTTTTGGTGTCCCAGCCAAAGTTTCTGCTGCAAAGCATCAGTACCTGCAGCTGTGCTACTGTGCAGAAGCAGAGATGCTGATCTCTCAGGTGAGCTGTCTCTTTGCCTATGTGCCTACGAGATTCACGGCCTCAGGTGCCTCTGTGCCCACACCTCTGAAAAAGCTTAATTTGGTAGACTTGCTCTCAACACACCCAGCAGGCAGGAAAGCCACAAAACCCAGTGCAAACCACAGCATCAATACACATTACCCATTGAGGGTGGTGGTGGTAGTAGAGCATTGACCTGCTACACAACAGATCACCGGTTTGCAAGTCTGCCAGCGAAGAGAGACCCAGATTCATGAGGCCTCTTAGCCCAAGGGCTCAAACCCACACCTCCCACTTCAAAGGAAAATGTTCAGAGACTCAAATTATCGGCAAGGCTGGGGTGAGACTACTCTCCCTCCTTTCTGTTGAAGCCGTGCTGTTATGAGACCCTCACGGGACCAGAGAGGAAAAAGCATGACCAGGAAGGAACCTGACTTTGCAGCAAGGGGTGAGACTACTCTCCCTCCTTTCTGTTTAAGCCGTGCTGTTATGAGACCCTCAAGGGACCAGAGAGGAAAAAGCGTGACCAGGAAGGAACCTGACTTTGCAGCAGGGTGATTGAGGAAGGAGGGATGGGGAGTCTTGGACTCTGGTCCCTGTGGCTGGAGTTACTTACTGATTTCACCCAGAAAGTCTGCATTGCAAAATGCATGCACAAGTCATCTTCACAACAAGGATCAGATGCCTCTCCCTCCTTCTTCACGCCAATCTTTTTACTTCCCCTCTGGCAATTTTAAAGCCACGTTTCCTCATGGGAACACCTGAAGTAAACATCTCCTGCTGCTCTGACGATATCTCCTTCCTCCCTCCTATCACAAATACCACCTTTTTGGTCAACAAAGCTGTAATAACCTGCATAATCCATTTATTTCCTGAAGATAGCTACAACTAAATTAATATTACTGTTCTCTTGCCTGATATAAACACTGTTTATGGTTTGCACATACAAGAGGCCCTGAGATGTACTGATTTCCTCTTTTGTTGATGTTTATCTATTTTAAAATTCCAGCATCCTTGAGCAGAGATTAAAAACAAAAAAAACAAGTTTGTAGTTTAGAAAATTTTCTTATGTGCTTTACCTTGAGGGCTTTCTGTGCAGCTTCACTTGATCCAATAGCAATCAAGTTTGGTCCAGCCATGCTGCAAAAGCTCTTCAGATGCAAAGAATCATGAACAGGAACTGTGGAGACAGCATAATCCTGTATGGGAGCAATGAATGGTTGCTGTAAATATTTTTAAATTGTCCTAGTCCCTTAATTATATTGAGACACTCCACAATTAATTTTAATCTCTCTGCAAATTTAACAATAGCAACATATTCCAGGGCATAGTGTCAACTGTTTAAGTATGACATACTCCTCTGGACCAGCTTGTCTTGTCTGGTACACTGGAGAAAAAACCAGAATATGTTTCTAACATTACTATTGTTGCAACTGTAAGGAAATACATTAAAATGTGTAATTAAACAGTATGTACATAAAACCTCTCCAGGGACCAGCAATAAGAACATGTTGCTGATACATGAGAACATTAAGAACATGAGCGCTGAAATGCTCTCAAATAATAACAGCCTTCCACTATCCAAATTACTTTTACGCAGGCATCTCACATCTTAGATCCAACTTCAGCATCTGTCACTTTACAGGATGCTCAGACCTTCTCCGTAACTTGTACTTTTTTTTTTAAAGTCTTAAACAAAGCACTTGAGTATGACAAACATCTTGATCAGTATAATTTTTAAATTGGTTCAGTGGAAGATATCTTATATTTCCTGTGGCACGAATGAATCTACAAACCTTAAATGTATCAGCCAGAATTTCTGCACCACGTTGATTTGTCCGCCTGGAAAGACCCACAAAAAATTCTCTGCCTGGAATGAAAAAATGAACGGCAAAACAATTACAGCATTTTTTTTTTTAAGCCATCCAAAAAAATCATCACATCAGCTCCTTCATCAGAACATGCACATTTTAAAAACAGGCCAGCTTTAGAAACATTCTGAAGCAATCTTTCATGGACATAATTTTCTAGCTTTCTTTTCTCAAGATGAATAGTAAAACTGAAAAATCAGCATAGAAGAACGCAACCTGAACTGCGAGCTGACAATTTAAAGCAATTATCTTTTTCCAGAAGACACATTTCACCAGAAGCATTAATAGCTTCCTCTAAAGCTCTGCAATGGTCATTGAGTCAGGCAAGAGAACAGCTGGGCTGGATTAGTACAGCACTGATTGACCATTTCCCTCTCCCTCTGAGATTTCCTCTGGTCTTGAAGGCAGCTCTGCAGCCACTGGCATCCTCCAGCTCCAGAGGAAATCAGTGCTGGATCTGCATGGCCTTAGGAAGGTCTCCCTTCCCAGTCTGCCTCTTTTGAGATCCTTCTTTCCCCTTGGTGAACCAAGGCAAGCAGCCAGTCTACTGTGATGCCGATCAAAATAAACAGGCTCATTCAGCACAGGCGGGGAGCAAGCGTGTGCACAGCCGATGTGAGAAAATGCCTAATGGGTTTAATGACATAAAACCCACAGTCAGTATCTTCATCTTTGAAGTCAACCATGCATATAAGTTGTCTAGCACACAACGTCTGGCAAGCAACTCCACTACTTTCTCCATTAACTACAAATACATTTTTTGCATTTGATTCATTGAACTAGTGACAATTGTCTGCATCAAGCTTTTACAAGTCCTGAAAATGAGTCTGGTGAATGTAGCTGCTTGTAATAAGAAATATGAAACAACTGTAGGCAGTTGACTACTGAAAGCATTTTTTCTTATAGGAACTTTATAGGCTAAAATAAAATTTGTATGCACAGTGCTGCTCTTTGTACTGTGTGTACTGCTGCTTCATTTATTCAGGCATTAGGCAGGACATCGAGGGCTGCATTGCAAATTCATCTCTCAGCTACCTTTGTGACATGTAGTAAACAACTGATTTAACAAACTGCACAAATGACATTTTATTATGCAGATGACAGATAACATCCAGTCTTCAAGGCAGTCAGAATACAAACAACAAATTCACTACCACTATACCTGTAAATAAGACATCTCCACCATCCAAGGTTGCGTTTTCATCTACCATCTCTACTATGTTGAGGTTGAGACTTTCTAGTACTCTCTTCATAGCTTCAACCTGTTTAAGAGATGGTAGTTTAGAATATATTGTGTCACTGAGAAACGTAAGAAACTACCAGAAATACATATAATTAGTAAGAATTAAAGTCCTTTAACATGCCTTCAGTAAGATGCATGGCAGGGTCCTTTGTGTCCCTGCCCATGGCAGTTCCCCAACTCCCTCCAAAGGCCTTTGTGGTCTAGAGGAGACAAAGGGCAGTGACCGGGCTGTTGCCTGTGCACAGGTACCATAAAGCATCCAGAGGAGAGAGATGACGGGTCCAAAATGCATGTTAAGTCTGGTCCCTCTGCACAGAAATACCCTCTCTTGCAAATCCTGCCCCTTGAATCTGAGCAGGAAAACAGGCCAGCAGGAGTGACGTTCTCTCCTCCCACTCTGCTCAAATGAAAGACGTGGCTCCACCAGCCATGGAGGTGGCAGCTCTACCCCAGGCCCCTCTTCAGTTGGGGGTGGGGGGAGCAGAAATCCCCAAATCAGTAAACGTTATTTTCTTTACAGTTTTGCAACTTTACTGAGCACACTCTCCTTGCACATGTGAGCTACCTTGCTACAGAATTACAAGAGCTTTTGATTCTGTATCCCATGCAGCTGGCCTCTTGCCATGGAGAGCTGCGCCTATGGCACCGAGCCCATGTACTGCTGAAAGCAGCTCATAACAGGAGCAGGGAACGCAGCTTCTGTAGGTTTCCTTTCCTAGTGAGGGCTGATGATGATGCCTAGACCAGAAGCTGTTCCTATAGAGGCTCACGTTATTGGCCATCCATAGGAGGGACTAACAATTGCTATGTTCAGGCACCATTATCTTGGTGCCTCGTAAGCCAAAAGCAGCAGCTAAATGCAACCAACCGCTCACCAAAAGCTTAGGACTACAGCTTGCAGAATGCCAATATAAACATGAGCTTATACACAGAAACCCGTGAACCTCATCCCATGCAGCAGCATCTTCATGTTTTGTAAAACCTCCTCACCACGGTTAACCAGAGGTGCCCGGCAAGCATTAAAAAACATGGAAGACATAGTGAAGGCCTGTTAGCTCCCATTTTTGCACATCCCACAGGTCACATATCTACTTAATGTGATAAATTAAGCATTTCTAGAAGAAACACAGGAAGTAAAGCATATGACAGTACTTATCCTCCAGCACCATATACCAACAGAAACAACTCTGGCAGCCCTGCTCGTGGGCTCTGACAAACTATACCTGTCACAGCAGAGAATGGAGATGTGTTGGTGACTAGTCCTTCACCCTTGCTGCAGCAGCCTCAGAGCAATGGCAGCACAGGGTTTGGCTGTCGTACCTTCCTAAGAGCAGTGCTGGCTTCACAGAATAAGGGAGGGGGCAGACGTGACCCACCTTTTCCTGCTCATTTTCCATGACGCAGCTATGTGGCATTCGTGAATCATCCCACCAACCCTGAAGCCCAGGCCCAAAAGGCAAGAGCAGGTCTCCATGGACCGCCAGGACAGGTGATGTAGGTCTATAAAGGGTACATTGGGGGCATCATCTTATCCAAGACTGATCTACTCTCTGGAGGTGCCTCTTTCTCTCTAGCACATCCTTGCTCTCCAGTCACTTCACAGAAAAAACCTTGGACAAGCACACTGTGGAAGCAGATGACTCAGTTTAAAGTTGAACAGGATGAAGGCAGGTCTTTGTGCCACCTAGAGAACACTGAGGGGTCACACTGCAACACACAGCTGTAGCCAGGAGCTTCCTGAGACTAAGGGACTCATCCTCCCCACAAGAAATCCCACCTAAGGCTTTAGCACACAGACTGGAGCAAGCCTGCGGCATGCTCTTTAAAATTAATGCTTCTTTTTGCTCCTGTCCTTCACTTGATGCTAAAATTACTTCAGGCTAAAACTTGGCACTGAAGAGCCTCCAGGGTTAGTAGCAAGGTCTCATACTGCTTAGTCTTGTTGCTCTATCTCTGGTGATCTTCAAAATTAGGTTTATAAGGAGGACTGGATGCATGTGGTATTTTAAAAATAAATAGGAAACAGAGGAGTTAATATTGGAAAACTGACTGGTGTACAAACACAGTAATATTTTGTAACATCCGTGTGCTGATAGCAGAATTTATTCTGCCTGCAAAGCCCAGTGGTTTTTACAGTGCAGGTGCTACGTGCTTAAGAGCCATAAGACCTCAAAGAAGAAAACAATTGCTTAATAAGGAGTAATAGAGTTGTGGCATTATATAAGAAGGTTCCCCATCCAAAAGCACGTAGACTCACTGTTTTGTGCCAAGATGAAGCAGACAAGCAACTCATGACTGGGACACCTTGACACACAAGTACACCAGCCACAGGCAGTTGGAATAAATAAATATACCCAGCAGATGAGGTTACTTAAGGCAGAAGTCCAAACCACAGGAAAAAACCAGTATCGCCCAGCCTGGTGTGTGGTCACCTATCTCCAGTTAATCCACCACCTCCAGAAGCTTCCAAAACCAAAACACCAGGAAGAGAAAGCCCTTTCAGGAGATGTGTGGCTGATGGGGTGCTCCCAGCAGGAGCTGTCAGGGCTTGCTGAAGAAGCCAAGCCAGCAACTGCTCCCACCGAGAACCCGCTCCCCGTGCCGCTCCTGTCCTCCTCCCTGATACCGTGTCCCCACCAGTCTGGAACATCAGCAGAGCTGTGGACGTTGCTGTGGCAGAGGACCACCTTACCCATGTTCGGTGGGGAGAGCCAAAAGCTTCTCCGGAGCACAGAAGACCATGTGAGAAGGGTAACACCTAAAACTAGGCAGCCTACAGAGAGGACATGAAGGTGCCTCCATGTGTCGCCAGGCTGCCTGCAGACCTAATAGGGCCAGGAACTGTGCAACAAACATTGCAAGCAAACTAGGCACACTGGCTAGAAAATTTGTGTCTGTTAATGGTTTAATAAACCTGATGGTCCAGAGGTGGCATATTTCTGAAGGGAAAAGAAAAGCAGCGTGCATCCTGGCTACATGAGGAAGGTAGAGGGGGTATGCAAGCCTGAAGGCAGATCTACCCGCGAGAAGATGTGCCTGTGACCAGAGCAAACAAACACCGGTCACAGTGGCACATTTGGGCTCCCTCTGGCACGTGGGAAACTTACTTTTTACCTGAGCATTGCAACCATGAAAAATGCTTGCACTGTCTTAAGAAGTGACTCCAATGCTGTTGGCAAAGGTGCTGCAGAGCTTGCTGGGGAGAGGCAGGCAGGCAGCAGCGCTTCGCATCCCTGGCCTGAACGGCCAATTAGCAACACTTGCAGTAGAGTATCAATTAAAGTGCCTAGCTAATGAGAGTAGTGGAAGGTAAATGCTGACTTCGGATTTGTGATTTGAGTCATATGTATATTTTAACCACCAGCTGCTGACTACCACTTAACCACCAGGCTACGTGGCCTTGAATTTTTTTTTTAATTTAATTTACAGGGGTTGATGCAGCTCTCAGTGCAGACATTAAGGAAAGTTATTAGAACTAAAAGTTATCCAAAAATCACTGAAAACTAGTTTAATTTGCTTTGTGATTGTTCCAGGCTTTTTAGATAAGATGGTCAAAATGGTCTTCCCCAACAGTTGAGCTCATTTTAGCTTATGAAACCAAATTTAAATGAATAAAATGACTGCCATATAAATAGCTGGTTCTTTTTTCCATGATGGGTGTTAATGGATTCAAGTCTAGGGTTCAATGTTTTGCAGAGGTTTTAAGCAACCAGTAGAAATTCCTAGAGTTTTAATTGGAAAGTGCTGTTCACACATCTGGTGACATATGCTAAGAATATCTTTCAATATCCGTTGCTTGTATAAAATAGAAGTCTTAAGTTACTGTTTGTTTTCTACAGGCAACAGCAGGAACTTCATTCAGTAGAAGCAGAAGTGAAAAAAGCAGCACACACTGAGATGGAAAAGGTTGGAAAGACAACCTGACTTGTAAATAAGAAAAAAAGAACTTGTAAATACAGGATTCCAGAAAAACAAAACCAGAAATTAATAGCCCATCTACTGTTGCATATAGCTGAGTTTTCTGCGTGAAGGATAGCACAGACTCGCATTACCCCCACGACAACAGCTTTAAAGCCACCCTGCAGCAGTCCCCAGTAGTCTCCAACACAGCATGTCCACATCACGTGTTTGACACACAACCATCTTGGACACAGCACACTGCATCATTCAGAGTTCAGGTTAGTATGTGGTAAAGTCCACACAAGTAGCGCAAGCCTGTATCTCATCATCGCAGAAAGGAATCGAGAACTTGGCTCCATCCTTTCCTTAAGCCCTCCCACATCAGGAAGGATCATGCCACTTTCCAATGGAGCTCCTGCCCCACAGAGAAAACAAGATACAATCTCCAGCTAAGGAGGGACAAGCTATTGTAATCCTCAGGTAAGAAGTTAAAAATAGGGATGCAGCAAAGGGCATAGACTTTACTGCGCCGTCTATCCTCTTCACATTTTATCCTCCCCAAACAACTGACATGAATTTTTCTGACACATGGAGTCTTAACACATACTGGTGAGATTTTATAATGAATGAAAGACTAATTCACAGAGCTAGCTTTGATGTTGTGAACAACCACCTCTTGCTTTTTTTTTCCAGGAAAGAACTGAAAAAAGGTGGATGGAGAAAGTCCTCGGTGAAGCCACAGTTACCCAGAAGACATCAGTAAAATACACAAAGTACTTGAACATGGCCCAATTACAAGCATATTCACTATGAAGAGGACTTACTACTTGCTTTTTTCATAAGCAGACAAGAGGAAAAGTCACCTTCCCTCACTTTATCTCCTTTATTTGAAAACTAAAATCCCAGGTAGTCAGAATCATAGCACACAAAGAAACCACTCATCTGTATCCTTTAAGATTTCTGTATCGCATTATCTCAGGTCAGCTTAAGGTTCGTAACATGATATTGGGGTTTATTGTACATGTACCCATTAGTACATCGGTTGAGCATTAAAGCTTGTATGCTTTGTGTAGTGATATTTTCTAATAAGCACATTCCTGGTGTGAGACGGGATGTGTCTAATCCATAGCAAAGCTGATTGAGAGACAATGGGTTCCAGCCAGCTCAGCTCTGTTTCAAGGAAAGAGGACAATAACTGCATTTGACGTTTATAAGAATCTAATTTCCTTGTGCTTTAAAAATGGAGCTCATTACCCTCCGGACTGGTGCCTTCCACCCATTACTGTAACTGATGTGCGGGGATTTTTCCTTTTCTATATTAGTATTTGATGCACTCTAAACAGGGCCACTTCCTAAACTATTTACTGTCTCCTGTGCTAACTAACCATGTTATGGGATTTACTTTATTGACAATAAGAAGGAAACAGTCTTTTCAAAAGACAGTGGAAACAGGGAAATGATTTTGCGAGCTACGGGCTCGCCCCTTCCAAGAGCAGGGCAGCTACTTCCCTGGGGTGCCAGGGCTGGGTGGCAGAGCTCCCAAATGCCCCATTGGCAGGGGCACAGCTGGGGCTCAGCAGAAGCTGTGGATGGTACTGAATCAAGCATCCCCTAATAACTGCAATGACCTGTCTGCTTTTGCCTCTGAGCTCCCAGTGAAAGGGGGAAGATGTCTGCAGACCTGTTTCAAATGAAAGGACACAGAGATGTCCTTGGAGAGCAGACGACCATCCAATGAGCCAGAAATTAAATGAGGTTTCTAACCCAGCAGAGCTCAGCTCTACGTGCGAACATCTCAGTTCTCTGGAGACTGATTGCAGCCCTAACAAAAGGGACTCTCAGCACAAGACACTGCTGCGCTGTGTCCTGAAATTTTACATCTACCACCAATTTCTCTGGCATGATAAATCACAATTATTGTGTTTCAGTCTCCACTTCATTGTGTTTTAAACTGTCATTTATAGCTGTGTAAAGCAAATGGCAGACTTAATATATGCAGAAGTGAGACTATCTCTGAGGTGACTATTTCTGGAGCCATTAGCTCTGAGTTCAAAGTGCCACCGTCAATATATAATGCATTTTTCAGCAAGGCTTCGAGTGAAGACTATAAATAGAGATGGACAAATCCAGGGCCAGGAAAGGGTAGACTTCAGTTTTGTAAAACCAGATACCAGTGTTGGTCACAATACAGGCTCTAGCCTGTCTGAATCTGCTCCGTTTGGAGATGAACAAAGTCTGTCTCCTCTTGACGATAAGCATTGCCGTTCTGGGCTTACAGAGGCTTCAACAAAAATAAAGAAGCCCTGTAATAGTTTTGAGGGTTTTGAGCAGAAAAACCCAGTACTGGTTGTTTTCTTGCTTTAAGTAGTTCAGATACACTCCCTTGCACATATTGATCTCAGAAATGCGTGGGATGTGGGTTGGGGCAGAGTTTCTGATGCCTGCTCCGAGTGTTGATACCAGAAAGGGTCCTGGCTCTTGAAAGGCCAGTGGGGAAGAGGTGGAAGAACAAGATGCTCCAGAGATCATGCTGTAAGAGTGTGTTAAGTGCAAGACAAGTAAAATCAGCTCTGTCCTGCAAAGAGCCTCCAGCACAGCCT